GAAAATGCAGAAGCTTATATTCAGGAAAATATAATGTTTACTGCGCTCATGGAGGACAGTGGTTCTCAGCTGGTCTGGCTGTGGGACCCACCATCACTCTTTAATGACAAGTCACGGCCCAAAGAAATCGTTTTAGGATTTTACTTTCACAACTTGAACATTGTACGTACTGCTCTGCAATGTCCTTCCTCGTCTCAGCCCCCTGTGTCATGGTGTGTGGTACATCTCACTGAGTCAGAATACCCATATTTGATTGGCTGAGCTGCATCACGTGATGTGATTCACTACCCGACTAAGCCTCTGCTGTTAATTTTCGTTTCACGATAGTCACGTGCTCGCCCACTGACCAATCACAGCACACTCTGCACCTCGCGGCAGAGCTGCACATGGACACTGAGCTGCACTAATGCTGACGTCATTATAGGCCGGCTCGCAGGCGCTGACACGTCAAAGAAAATGCCCAACATGTCAAACTAAAGATCTGATTGGTTGAAGACTATGACAATCAACAATATCGTCCCCATTCACTTAATACTGCACATGGATGCACGTGAGACTCTGCAGGCCTCTGCCTCTGTTCTTACCTAGAGACACAGAGGTGAAATCTGATTGGATAAAAGCTCTACTTAAAACAAGCTGCACTGGAAGCAGAGCAACTGAGGAAGACAGTAGCTGTGCAATGAGAAAATAAGATAATGGGAAAAATATTTTTATAAATTATAATACACGTAGTGTATTTAAGAAAAAATATTAAATTATAAAATAGATATAGCTTTGTGATTCTGTTTAGGGCAGCAGAGAAGGCCTTGCAGGCCCTGACGGCCCACCACTGTGTCCTGGGTAGGGAGCTAGGTCACCTCCTGTCACAAAGTTAAACGAAGCAACTGTTGTGGTCAGGTTAAGCGAGGTAAAGTGCAAAGACATTGAGTCAGAGAGACTGGTCTTTTGTAGCCCTAAGTGAAGGTCTTCCCTGGCCTGCAACAGTCTCATGAGCCTTGACAGGCGTTTTGAGAGAGAACAACGAGGACACAATCCTCACACTGATGTGTTGTTGAATGAAACAGAACAGAATATCTGCTCAACATCAGCATTTTAACATTATCATTGTACTTCAGCGTTTAGCTCAAAGTTCTGTTAACATTTTATCATGTCATTTTTATTTCTTACACCCTTCAGAAGCATTTCCAAAATGCCTCTGCAGGGATATAATATAGGACAAAATCTAAGTTATGACTGTATCAGACACACTGCTCAAACCACAGAGAGATTTTGTGAAGGAGTGCTATCAGTAGAGCTTTGAAGTGGCATGCTGATATGAGCATGTTAAAGAGTCGACATGTCAATGTGAGGGAAAGTTTCAAGTGTGAAAAGATAAAAAGCTGCTGAAATGATCCAAACCATTTACCAAACACTGGACTGGTAGTGAAATAACCCTCTGTGGATCACTCAACCGTCCAGGGAACACAGCGCCTGTGGAGTTTGTGAAATGAGCATGGAATCATGAATGTGGAATATGTGTTGTGGGCCCTAATGTGACAATTATGCTACTCCCACAGAAAAGGATTGTGTGACAATAACATGGGCTGGGCACACCATTTTCATCCTTTTGTCATAAGAATGAAATGTATGCATAAAAGGCTATCTATGGTTAAAGTTAGATTTAAAGTCAGTGTATTTATCCAAGGAACTAATGTTGTGTTCAACTGATGTATTTCCAGGTTAATCTTTTATGAAACAAGCACGGCTGTTGAGATGCAGAATCTTCAGATATTCCCGATACTAACTTCTGTGCAGATTGTTTTTCCAAATTCAATTTTGAAACAGAAACAGGAAGTGTCGAATAAATATGAACTATTTTCGTGTCTATCAGGTATAGACCTCCATACTGTCAAAATATATAGTTTTTGTTTCTATTTTTGCTGTAGGCAACACCTTGACCGTATTCCTTTTGCATAAAATGTAAAACTGACGATGAGATCGCGGTGGCAGTCAGAGGTATAAATGCTCAGAAATCCTGTGTGTTTTACTCGAACACCTTCACAAGGAAAAGACATTCTTGGCGGTGCTAGTGTTAATTTAAATGAAAAAGATAAATATCTTCTGTTATAACAACTTAGGGTAAAGTTATGCTTTTATGAGCAAGAAGTCAACCTGGTATGCTGCATTTGAAGGCATTTGAAGGATAGGCCAGGCCACCTCCACTGTAGCATGCATACTACATATCCATCCATCATGCTAAATGAAAGGTGGACAAAGCGTGCGATGAAGACGTGTGTGTGTGTGTGTGTGTGTGTGTGTGTGCTGATTTAACATTAAAAATGCACTAAAGGTCTCTCAGTTGAAAAATGACCCATTTCCACATGTATCACAATCTTGTAATGCTGCTTGACTGACCGAATGCAATCATGTTATTACCTGCAGGATTTGTCAGTATAGCTCAGTGAGTAGAGTTAATGACTTGAGATGTAGAATGGAGATCTCACAGATCCTCCTCCAGGCCACTATGACTGTCTGTTTCTTTGTCCTGTTCTGCTTTGTTTCAGGATTCACACTTTATCTTTTCGTGCCGATGTTTGATCCACCTCTCCACTTTCGGGCATTTTCAACCGCTACATTTTGTCGATACCCCTGCACTTTTGAACCGTGTCAGAAAAAAATGCAGTAATTGCAGTAATTTCAGGGTGCAGCGTTTGACAAAAGGGTGGGTGAGATGGTTTGTACGTGCAGCTTATGCAGGTCGTGATGTTGATCTCAGCCCGCTGTAATGACTCCAGGCCATTAACCCTCCCTGTCATTTGGAATGACATGTGCTTTTTAAAAAAGGGAAAATGGCGCTGCCCACATAACTTACACGGTAGACTCACCATCCTGCTGCCAGTCTGTGGCTTAGTGCCATGCCATTTTCCCCATCCACTCTATCATCATCACTGCGGTTAAATTCTGCATTAGAGGCTCCCGCAGCATTTGATGTCCATTCAATTTCCACATGTATTTAATATGATAACATCGCACAGCAGTTCAATACAATCACTGTAAATGTCTTCTTTTTATCTCCCATTACTTAAATGTAACTCTGATGTGCGATATCTTTGAAATCTTTATGTTTACTGAAGAAAACCACCTTTGTCAGCTCGGTCTGATGTGTTTGACATTTTACCAATGTTTGAATTAAACAGAAGGAAAAAGCAGGAAGTCACCATGACTGAGATGTCAAAATAATGGAGCCATACATGCACAGGCTTTTCCTGCAATATAAAGGCATCAGTGTTGCCTATAATGCCAGTACCAAAACCTCACCTGGCAGATATGGCATTCATTGTAAATGATTCAGTTGAATTTGTTGAACTAAACATCAGCATACAGCATCCATTTCACCATTAAATGGCTTCTTATGGAATTATTATAGTCAACCGTCTTGTATGAATAATGCTTCCAGACTTGTGACCATTATGTCAGTAAAATTGCAATACATTTTGAGGGTTTATTATTCACTTCTTACCTGGTTTGGTTATTGTGTGTTCACTGGTTCGTTTAGGCTGGTGTGAAAGCTGAACTCTGGGGCAGACTAAACGACTAAAAGGAGGGTCTCTGTCCGCTTCTAAGACTTTGGTGCTGTTTGTTAATATTGTAAAGAAAAGCAGACTAACCACAGGATATTGTGATAATGATAATAACTTTATTTATATAGCACCTTTAAAAACAGAGTTCACAAAGTGCTTTGACAGACAAAGCAGCAAAAACAAGGCACTAATAACAACAACAGAAAGCTCAGTGAGACCGTTGGCTACATTAAAAATAAACTGAGAAATAAATGAAATAAAATAATAACAATATATATATATATATATATATACACACACAGGTATCAACTGTTATCTGAGACCTGTATCTGTACCTTTTTCGTGCTACATTCTGGTTAGCACAGGTAAAGCCATCAAGCCAAACCTCTGTTTGGGCTCCGTGCTCGTAAGCTTTTGAATCTTTACTTGGGTGAAATCATTGAACTGCCCGTGTGCCTCAACTGTCTGCGTTCTAGTCCTTTCCTTGCTGCCTCGCACTTACTGTGAGTCTTTAAATGGCCACTGAGACCTAAATAGGAAGAAATATTAGCAGGGAGAACATGAAATTAATTAAGCATCGTTAGGGAGACGTTTTACAGTGACTTCGGTTGCACCTGTCATGGGGCCCAGTAGATTCATGACGGGCAAGCCTGATACGCACTGCAGGGCCTGTTGATGGGTCGAAACATCATCTAATGTGAAAACTGGGCTTACATAGATTCCATGAATTCTCATCCAACGTTTTTTAATGTGTATTGATAGCTGCTGCAGAAGAGTTTTAGTAGACGGCATCCATTAGTGGTCAACCTTTATGCAATTCTCTATTTTCATCGCCTTTTGGGCTGTGGCAGTGCCTGCATAGAGATAACTACAATGTTCAGTTGTATCAGCACTTAAATCCCAAAGCCTGGCTGAGAAGAAGGTTGCTGTCCAAACTAACTCTCAGATGTTTTGCTATTATGACTTTTTTGTATTGCAAATTATTTTTAGGTAATGCAGTCATTGGAATATTGCTGTAATATTCTGGTACATATCTGTAAGAAGCTGTACAATTGAAGGTTCAAATGGGCTTCAAGGGACATTATACTTGAAGTTAATATTGCATTCATTGGATATGTTTTCTGCTTTGGGGCAGCAGAGCAAGCTGAAGCACAAATTAGAGCTTATGTGCCAGAAAACCCAACAACGAACTACTACCCATATGGCTCAGAAAAGGACTGATCCCTTTCACATTACACAAAGTTATTTGATTTATTCTTAATCTAAGTATGTTAATGAATGCACTTTTACAATATGTTTGAATGATGTAAATCCACAGTGTTGATAAAAATAACAAAGTACAAAGTAATTCGTGCCTCTGTGTGATCAGCTCTCTGTCTGCTGCAGTGTCACGCTCCACTGGGCTGAGAAGTGTTTGCTGATATCATGTTTTCTCCAAAGCCACACAGGTCAGCCCCTCAGAACTGCAAGATGTGTTTCAGGAGACCTCCTCCAATATCTTCCAGATCAACGCCAACGGTAAAAAGATAACTCAACACTTGAGTGTGTGTGTGCTTGCATTTATCCTTGTGCTCCAGTTTTGACATAAATACTTTGCGACCTTTTGGCCGAGGACATTTTGGCTTCGGTCTTCCTTCCTTCAAATGGATTATGGGTTTTCGGGAAGTTCAGAGTTGAGGTAGTTTTAGGATTAGGGTTTTGACTTTGGTATACGATGATAAGTAGTAATTGAGGTTTAGGTTACTGGATGGGTTCAGATCATTGGTAATTTACCTTCATGTCTTGGTTTTCAGAAGTGTTTTTATGAGTTTAGTCCATAATTATGTCTCTTTGGTTTAGATCATTTTAACACAGGTTATGCAGTGTGTCTTGGTTGTAAAAGTTTCAAAGTAGAAATGCCATTCAAATCAATAAACCAAAAATCTAATCCTCCAACACCCACTTATCCCAAAAACAAACGCCCATTGTTTTGAAGGCCCATTGCTAAATATACACTATCAGCACATTGCTAATTATCACGCAAAAGACAGCAACATAACTTCTCAGTCTGAATGTTTTTTAGTTTCTTTTGTACCATGGTGAAGGCTTGATTGTCATACTTTACCTCTGGTTGGCTTACCCTGATATTCTTACCCTTAATGGTGGGTCGTGCCTTCATCAGGAATACAAATTGGCATGGTCCAATGACATCATTTGTAGCATGGAGAGTGTATATTTTTTGAAGCGATGGGCCTTCAGAACAATGGGCCTTTGTTTTTGGGATAACAGGCTGTCGGATAAATGGGCTTTCGGTCCAATTGGACATTTTTGGACAATTAGGCTTTCAGAGTAATTTGGCGTCGGAACAATGTCCATCTCCTATTTAAATGAGGATTAAGGTAATTTAGGGATTGATTCTTGATTATTGGATTAATATTAGTTATTGTACTAGGTTTAAATTTGGCATAAAGGTAGTTGAAAAGAGGTTGCTTTGGTTTAGGGTTATTTTTAAATGTGGTACAAGGTTTAAATCAGGATTATATACATTTTGTGAGGAAATATGATGTATTTATCAATTCTAAATCACATCTCTATTTTATGTCGGCCATTGTGGTTGTCATTTCTCTTTCTCCATTTTACCCATTTTACAAAGAATGGAGTGCAGCAAGATGTTCTTCTAAACGTGCGGTTCAAATTGGCTCTGGATTAGTGTTAAAGTTATCTTTAATAACAATTTGAGTTTGAGACTTGAATTAGTTTCATGTTAAGGTTACAGAATGAATGGAAGGTTCCCTTTAAGACTTAAGTTACCCGAACACACTCAATGTTTGTATTGTTCCTCCAGTTGTCACACTAGAGAAGAATCTCCAGTCACTGGGGACATCTAGAGACACAGAAGAGCTACGACAGAGTCTGTGAGTAACACACACACACACACACACACACACACACACACACACACACACACA